ATAACTCTAATTCAAGCAGAATAGCCTATTGTCAACAGAATTATGGAGTGTGATTTATTTTCAACTCAAAATATCTTCAAACTAACGAAATAAAAAAGTTATTAGTGAAGAAAACCCGTCTGGATAACAGCAGACTAACTGCTCGTAAAATAAACGACAGGTCTGGACCACTCGTGAATTTTGTTCGTATCTGAAAAAAAGCTTAGAATATGAAAACATTGGTGAATGCCACAAATTCTCCTAAATCACTCGTAAACACAATTTAAGAACAAATCTGTGCGTACGAACGGTTCTTGCATGAGGCCCACTGTTTTAAAAGTGTGTGCATGTTTTTTTAAAGATACAAATGAATGACTGAAAAACATACAACACATACATCCAAGACTAAATTCAAAAATACTTGGTGAAGCAGAGAGGAGCAGCAGAAAATGATTTCTCTGAAAAATAAATAAAAGACACCAAACTTGACTTAATGAAAGAAAAAATAGAGAAAACAAATTGTAGCCTGCACACGGTCAGACGTCCCTCTGGTTTGAGATGCAGCTTCTTCCAAGTTACTTCTCTCTGGACAAGAACTACAAACAAACAAACAAACAAACAAAAAAGAAATTTAAAGCATGTGAGAATAAATTCTAAAGCTCAAGAGAATGTCATATCAGTAGATTTTCTACACTGACTCATAGTTTTAAAGAAACTCTGAGGTAACTAAAGAGAAGGAAAAAAACAATCTCATAAAAAAAGCCTCACTATTTCATGTTTTGCTTTCATCTTTGCGTTTTTCAGGTCTCGGCATGGAGAATATTGGCGGGATCTTTGTTGTCCTAATATGTGGCCTCATTGTAGCTGTGTTTGTGGCCATCATGGAGTTTGTTTGGTCGACACGCCGCACCGCTGAGACGGGCGAGGTAAACTTTATCCTCCTTAAATGTCTGTGTGTGTAAGACCTGTCAACTGGTGGCGTCAAGGCTGTATAAATTTTCTTTTTGTGATCAAAATCAAATCAATTGTTAGTTGTTTTGTGTTTTTTTGAATAGTAAAGGTTATTTATTAAGTTCTGAACAAAAACTAAACTATGAGACCTCTAAAAGGTAACCGTGATGAAGAACCTGAACTTGTGGATCACAAAGAGAAAAAAATAGCAGACCTGTTTGACATGTAAAGTTTTAATACAACATGTAAGAAGTTGCTTGTTTACATTGCTTATATTTGCTCAAATCAAGTACAAAGAGTGTTATGAGTCTTTTAATTTCAGGTATTTATTTCTGCAGGTCAAAGCAACATTTAATCAACCTTTAAATTTACTTTACTTCACAAACACAATAACAAGCCTAAATAAGAAATAGTTTATTATGAACATTACTCAAAAAAATCATTTCATTTTGAATACAAATGTCTTAAATCTGAATTTAAGCCAACAAAAAAAAAAGGCAAAAACATTTTTAGGGAGCTGTGAAAAAGTTGTCTCTTTCCTCACATTTATATTCCAGGGTTATTTTATGTTCAGTCTTTTTATTTTTATTTATTTGTCCTGTGCAGATACAGTTTGTAACTTTGACTTTCATTTACTCTCATTTATCTGTCATTGATTTGACTTTCTGCTTGGGCTGTTTTTATAGGGCAGATCAGGAGACTTGCGTGGGCATACACACACTCACACACACACACACACACACACACACACACACACACACACACACACACAC